CATTACAAAGGAAATTATTTAAGGATCTACGATATTTATTACAATGACGTGACGAGTTCTAACAAAAATATTTTTATTAAATTTTTTATCTCGATATAATAAATTAATATAAAAAATATATATTTTTATTGAAAGTCCTCGCGTCGAGGTGACGAATTTAAATAAAAAGTATATATTATTTGGGTAAACTCACCCCGTCGTGGTGACGAGTTTACTCTACACTATATCATTTGTCATAGATTACAAAATGAATTTCAAACTACTCTATTTGATCAATTAATTTTTCCTTCTGACCTAATGTCCAAAATAACCAACTAATAACTAAGTGACCAGCCCAGAAAACAAAAGAATTAAAGATTGAAAAGGAACAAAAGAAAGCACGCGTACGCACTAGGCACACAACATTTTTCGCAGCAATATTGATATTCATTGCAGAGTTTTGGCAGTTGCAACTTGCAATTAAACCAGTTTACATAGTCTTCTTCGAGAGGGGAAGAAGCCCCAAAACCAGTCCAAAACCATATACCCCCATATTCTATGTTCCTATGATTAGATTTGAGGGGAAAGAAAGAGAAGATCACTGCTTGTTTGGTATATAAAGAAGAAAATTAAAACAAAAGTTGGAGGGGGAAATAACACTATCCAAGAGGGCTAATTGCCGTAATATTAAAATTAATTTTAAGATGGAACGTAGAGTTTATGTTAGGTGAATTTCTAAAATTTTAAGCGATGGTTGTCCTAATTTTCCTCTCGCTCATCCCGGAATTCAGTTGCTCTTTCTTGTGTTCGTGGAGGCAGTGTTGGCGGTGTCACGGAGGAAATCGAGCAAAACGGTGCTCTTGCATTTGGGGCATTTAGGCTCATCCTCCGAGAGCATAACGTACATAAGGCACCTTGGACACCCCACCAGAACCATCGATGTGGACGCCTCACCACTGTTACTGTCGACGTCCATCTCCGACGACACACACGAGCTCGGCGGCGATGTAGGCGACACTGTAGCCGATCGGCTTGGCGATCCCACTCTCGGGTTACGACTTGGTGGCGATAGGTTCAGCTTCAAATCAAGCTTGAGATCATTTGATCTTCGACTCATCTTTGTATTGTTCTCCTACAGAAATTAATCCGAATGAAACATGCATGTAACATATAACAAAAAGAAAAGGAAAAGCTTAATTCAATAACGGTTAAATTGTATTGAAAAAGATTGAATGTTAGGAGTTTACCTTGAAGGTGAAAGAAGCAACCAAAACAAGGTGAGAGAATAGGAGGTGGTGAGGGGATTGAAGAAGGAGCTAAATATATAAAGGGAGAAGTGGAGTGAGAGAGGAGAGGGGGTTTTACTTTTATTTAAAGCTTTAACTAAATTATGGTGGCGGAGTGGGGGCGATGTGCAGGGGAAAAGTAAGAGCAAATAGTATTGCAATCTACCAAAGATAAGAGCAAATAGTATTGCAATCTACCAAAGATATTCTACACATTTAACAATTTGATTCGTTTTTAGTAAAGTTAGCACCACCATTATTTGTATTTAGATAATTTTGAAGTTAATACATTCAAACAAATTTAGATTATTTGTATTATTCGGTTTTAGTAGGAGCACCGTGTTGTTTGTATTTAGTAAAATCCACCCAACGATTTTAGTGATTAAAATAAATGTTATTTTTATTTGAGGTCTTAGATTTCAACAACTGTGTCTATATAATGTATGTGCTGTCAGTGATTAAGAAAGATTTCGAATATATACTATCCTTATAATCATCCATACTATTAAATAAAATAAATTTAGACATGAGGGGTATGAGAGAGTGTTGAGATCGATACATTTAAACATTGACAATGCACACGCACCTTGTAGACACAATTACTCAAACCTATATTTTTTTAGAAAAAATAATACTCCTTTAATACTTTTTTTTAAATTCCCTTTTAACTTTGAAATCCCTTGATAGGTTCAGTTTAAAAACATCATTAATGTTCCATCATTTGGGTCATTTATATAAAAAATGTTTAAGAGTTCAATTGATTTAACTAGTAAGTTAAGGGGCCATAATATCATAATACCTAAAAAGACATTTTACTAATTAAAATAATCGGAATATAATATTTTATGTCACGGTATTAATTAATGAGACTAATTTATTTAACTAAAATTTACTCAAATCATACACTTCCTTTTAAAGGCCGAGTCATTAGAAAGAGTATAGTTTACATTCATTGTTTTTGCTTTAAATGAGTATAACCAAACCAAATCAGTATGGGGAAAATTTTGGAGTGTTAATATACAATAGGGAAAGAAACCAATCTATTTTACTTTTATGGATAAGAGTCAGATTTCTAAAGCAAAAGGACACCTAAGAAATTAATATCAAACAACCAGAAATTTAGTGGAAATGGAATTCAGATATAGCAGTTAAACCCAATTTAAATGTTCAACAAATATGAGATAATTAATGGCAATTCCACCAAAAATATTTCATAGGAAGCATAACATAGTTAAGGCGATTTCTCTCTCTCTCTATATTTCTATATTAAGTCTTATTTAGATTATGGTTAAAAGAAACTGTCCCCTCAATTTCCAGGGTTAAACCTTTGGCAGTGCTTTCATTCTAAGAAACTACATATTTGATCACCCAGAATATTTAATATACATATAATAATATAATAATAATAAAATTTATTGTTTTTATAATTATATTTTTTGTGTGTATTAAATTAATTAAACTAATTACATTTGTACATATGTTCGAGAAACGGCCAATTCGCATGAAGTATGCAACTATGCATGATTTCAATTCGAAAGCTGTCAAACCTAACAAATTATCTTCATGCATATAGAATAATAAAGGCATTGTGGGATTTTTTTGCACCCGAGTATACCCTTTTAAAATAATAATTATTAAATTAACATCTTTTGACAATTCTTCACACCCTAAAAATTTAGGATTGAATTAAAATGTTTGGATGTTTGAGTGCATGTTTGGAAACTTCTAAACATTTGGGGAGTATTAGGGAAATTAGTCAAAAAATAATTCAGGGCATTGAAATACCTACTTTTATTTTATTTGCTTCTTTCCTATCCCCACTTTGTGAAACTCTCCCGGCCGTTTCTTCTCTTTATTTTTCACCCAACAAATTGCTGTTACTATTTGGACTCGATTCACCGTCATCCGTGCCACCATGACTCTCACCAACGACTTCGTTGTGTTTGTCTTGTCGTCCCTGTTCGTCCGGTGCCCTTGATTTTTCGTTTACCGTTGCCTTTGGCAATCGGGGAAGGGTCAAACATTCGAATTTCGTTAAAACCCTATCTCCCTTTTTTGGAAACTAACATTTGTAAGTGACCTCTAGTTCCTTAAAATGTATCCTGGATTTTTCGTAATTTTCTAGCCATCGTAGCATGCCTCATGCACCATACGAGTCGTCGTATGTGTGTGGGATTGTTTCTACTATAAAACCGATTTCACCGGCCCTAGAACGGTGTGACTAAACCAGGCCTAAATTGGACTAACCTTAAACTAGTTGAATCATTTGACCAAACAAATCAATTTGTCTGAATCAAATCGATCTACCCAAACCAAAGTGGTCTACCCAAACCAAACAAATGAGTGTCATTTAGTGAATTAATATTCTATTTCTGTTTAGGTACACTACATCAAAATTGTTCTACAACAAAACTTTTCATGAATGGTTAGGCCATACGGTAAGCAACTAAATCATTCCACATACTTATAAATAATATATGTCTTGCTTTTTATATCGAAATCAATGCAAATTAATTCACCATTCATGTGTAATAGGTTTGGAGTAGGAGAGAAGTTAGTGAAGATGTTAAATGGCCTTCTCAAGGTCCGAATATAATAGTTAAAAGGTATAATACCTTCCTCGTTAATGGGTTCAGGTGCCACACGAAATATCGTGAAATATTAAGGAGGATACAAAATTGTGGAGTCGTAGTTACTTCGTCAACTACAAGTTATGCTAGTGTCAGAGACACTAATCCGCAGGAGGGAGATGTTGATTATTATGGAATTCTTACGGACATTATTGAGTTAGATTATTATGGAAAACGAAAGGTTGTGATGTTTCGGTGTGACTGGGTTGATGTAAACAGTAATCGAGGCATAAAAAGAGATAAATTCGGGTTTACAATGGTGAATTTATCTCAATTAATTCACACTGGTCAACACTTGATGGACGAACGATATGTATTTTCTTCTCAAGAGAAACAAGTTTTTACCGTCACGATCCAATAGATGACGGTTGGTATGTTGTGCTCCGTAATACCCCAGAGACTTGATAGACATCGGGGATGGAAGTAGAGATGACATTGAAACAAGATCAGAATCTTTACCTCTAGTAGCACAAAACTTAGATGAAACTATCACTAATACACCACAATTTCAATGGGTTCGGGAGGATGTTGATGAAGATATTTATGACAACTAATATTACATAAGAATGTCGTAAGATTTTATATCTTTATTTATTTATTTATAATGTTAAAACTTTTAACATGTTGTCCTTCAATATATTCATTAATTAAACTATTTTCTTACTAAAAATGTTGTTTGTTTATTACAACTATCATGCCAAGGAGAAAAATAAGTGATTTGCAGATTGTTCGAGCTTCTGAAGAGCATGAACAAACAAATAATGAGGAATCGAATGTTGTTGACTCTTCCAAAGTTCCTATAACTGTTGAAGAAGCTGTAGAAATTCAAGATAATGTTCGACACTTTATTTAATAGTTTGTTCATTTTGAAAACTTACATTTAATAATTTCTTATATAGTTGAAAATGTTGGAACACGCAAGACTAGAGGACATACAACATTGAAGGAATTATACCAACTTCCTGCTTGGCACCATGTCAAAGTTTCAAGAAACGATGTCGGTCAACCTAATGGCCTAGAAGCACATCTTCTATCCGGTTACTTAGGCATAGTTGGACGTAATGCTAATCTTTTACCTATCAATTATGAGTCATGGCGAATGCCTAATAGTAACAAAAATCAGGCTTTGGATTTTGTCAAGGTAATAATGTCATTATAATATATACTCTATAATAATTCAATAGTAATTTATACTTACTTTGAACACTTATTTGTTGTATAGGAGAAATCTTCTTTCGAGGTCTCTGACAATTATTTGAAGCAAGCCTTAGGGAAAAGATGGAGAGACCACAAGAGCTCATTAAAGAAAGAAATACTTCAAGAATGATCTCAGCCTTGAAGAGAAGCTACAAACTATCCCACCTGGAATGCTCAGGTACTAATGGGAAGATACTGTCAGATTTTGGAGTTCACAAAAAGGACATGTATAATGTATTTTTCAAAAATAATTTTAACGAATTATAATATTGACTTTATAAGTGGTTGTTTGAAATTATAGGACCAAGAGCATATTGGTGTTGCTAGCAGGCAACAACAAAAGTTTACGCACACGGCTGGATCGAAGAACTTTTCTTGTATATCTAATGAGGAGGTATTATATATTATTCACGTAGTTATTTGTATTCCATGTACATACTAAATCAAACTAATTATATTATGGTACATTGTAGGAAAATACATCTGGTTCTAAAGTTGGTCAAAACAAACTCTTCGACATGACACATACACAGAAGGATGACACTCCAATGACTACTGAAGCTGCAGAAATTATGGTACGTTTATTGGATAGAGGATTTGAATTATGTTTTACTTATATCTGTAGTATGACATTTTTATTTGAATTAATTATTTACTTTATTATTAGGAAAAATTGAGGGAGAAAAGGGCGGAGTATCAAGCTACGGCTTCGAGTCAAGGTCTTGTTAATGTGGATGACATTGAAAACCAAGCTATTAATGACGTTTTGGGTCCTGAAAGATATGGTCTGGTTCACTGTCAAGGATCATTCGTTACTCCCACCAAATATTTTGGATCCAGTTCATCTCAGTACATGTCATCTCAGTCTCAGTCTTCCCAATTAGAAGTTAGTCGGTTAAAAAAAAGTTGGCTGAAATGGATCAACAAATGGCTAACATAAAAGCCGAAAATGAAGCAAGTGAAATAGAGAGAGTAGCAGGGGAAGCACAGAGAGAAGTAGCATATCAGCAGAAATGTCAAAAATTTGAAAAGCGACTAGAAGCTATGATGTAGATGTTACAGAAAACGCAACCTCAGAATCCACCATCTTAGTCTTTTTTATGTTATATGTTTTGTTAATGTTATCATACAATGTTTAACTGCATTACTATTACGTTAATGTAAACTTTTATTTATTATAATGGATTTGAAGTTGGTTGTTATGGAAATAGAGTTTGCTGTTATTGATTCATATTTGTTGGATAATAGAACAGGTTGGAAAAACATATTTGGGGTAATCAAAGAAAACAAATAAATTGTTGACAATTATGTGTTCATTAGCGGTGTTTGTAAAAAAACACCGCTAAATAACCAAACAATATCGGTGTTTTGCAATAAAACGCCACAAAATGTTTAGATATTTTGCGACGTTTATATCCAAAAAACGCCACTATATACCTATTATTTTTGCAGCGTTTGTATCTAAAAATGCCGCTATATGCCAGACTTTTGGCGGCAATTTTATCCAAAAAATGCCGCTAAATATCTTAACCTTTTGCGGCGTTTATAGAAAGTACTGCTATATACATATACATTTTACGGCGTTTTTGGGAGAAACGCTGTTAAATCTCATCACATACTGCGGTGTTTTTTCAAAAAGCGCCGCTAAATATCTTGACCTATTGCGGCATTTTTTGTTATCAAACGCCATGAACTTTAGCGGCACTACTTAGCCTGACGCTTCTTGTGGCGTTTTTCATATCGCCGCAAGCGTTTTTAACGGCGCTTAAAAACGCCGCTGTAGGTAAAAAAACCGTAAATGCTCTTTTTTGTTGTAGTGATATATTGTTTCAGTACTCATATAGTAGTATGTTATTTTTAGGTCCTTATTCCGCATGACCTAGTACTACTGATTGTGAGAAGTGTAAGACTTAGTCGGTATTGATTAACTAATATAGGTATGTCACATTGACCCGTATGATATGTTTATTAATACTCTATTATACTATATAATTTGTACTGTAAGAATGTTCTTATTCTCGTTATATTTATCAATGACTTGTCCGATTTTTTATTATTGATGTATTATTTTTAATTTATATGTTGGTGTATTTCTGGAACTTCTTAGGATCTTCTATGTAGGGCAACATCCCATCCTGTTTTTGTTTAGGATCTTCTTCAGAGGATAATATCCTCATTCTGATTTCTATTTCTGATTGGGATCCTATTCAGAGGGCAGTATCCCAATCCTGATTTCTATATTCTAGTTTGGGTACCTCTTCGTAGGGTAACGTCTCCATCCTATTTATCTCCGATGAAAGGTAAGGTTTTGTGAATTTTTTTTATAATATTTTGATAATGAACTATTAATTTTTGGCGTAAAAAAGACAAAAAAATATTTTCACAAATGAAAACTGTTATTAGCACATATTTTATGCTGGTAACCATCTGAATGGGACCCACTATCACATATGAAATCAATCTTCTCGTATTTGTAGTGTACTTGGGGGTATGATGAGAATTTTTGGAAAAATTCCCTAACCACATTCCTTAGATTTATAAAGAAAAGACATCATTTTGGAGGATATATCTCATTCATCATCTTCTCTAACTATCTTTTCCTCGATTGACGAGCTGACTTTCTTTTTTTTCCCCATTAGTTTTTAGTGGTGTTCCTACATTGGTGAAGTTCGAGGGAGTGACGCTTGCACCTGAGAGGGCTGAGGTGTTGTGGTTGTTCGTGGTGGTTTGAAGGAAGTGTCGTCCGTTCTCATCTAGTGCTTTCTTCTCCAACCTTTTCTCTATTTTAAGATTGATCTTTGATTAGGTTGTAAGGAACGGATGAACAAATTGAGATTTTCCATGGTTTATTCGAACCCCACCATGAACTATACTACACTTGGTGGAGTTCATTGATGGATGCTTTAAATGGTTGATTACTGTTTTGTTTTTCTTATTACTTGTTTTGCTTATGAGTTCTTAATCTCTTAAGATTGTAGGAGGCATGAGAGTGTCCATTTCTTATGTAGAAGACTAGGTGTTCGAGAGAAACATAGTCACTAATTCTTTAGTATTCGAGAGAAACTAAAGTAAGATTTGCATAAGCAATAGGTTGTAGTTAATTACTAGAACCTAATCCCTTAGTATTCGAGTGAAACTAAGCTAGTATTTCAACAACTAAGAGGGGTAAAGCATAATCAATGGTTTAGCATGTCAGAACTCAGGTCGAGAGGAGATATTGTGGTATCCTATTCTATTAGGTTCTTAGACTAGAGATAGCATAGAACATCTTTAGTAAACTTCGTCGAACAAGTAAGGCACTAGAAGACTAGATCAACTTAAGAGATAAGTTTAAAACTTCCTAAGTGATTCCCCACCATTTATTCCTGTAGAAGCTTCTCGTGTGAGGATTATCAAGTTATTTCATTTATTTTGTATTTTTACCACTCTGCATTGCCTTGACATTTTCACCTATTTAGACTATAAACATCTCAATTGCCACGACATCACATTTGTTCACTCATTCATATTTCTTCACCATCATTCCACCTTATAGTCATGATTCCTTTACCTAGGCATCATCAATGTAAATATCATTACTATACTTAGATAATTTAGTGTATTTCTATGTCCAAACTCATAAAATCCACCAATACATGAGGACGATACTCACTCATCATTATATTACGTTTGCAATTGTGTATACTTGCATATTAATTGTGTATGCTTTTATAGTACTCATAACACGCAACAAGTATTAGTTGACATTTTTAGTACAACTGATGTTGGCTATTTTAGAATATTAATTTATATATTAAATTATTTCATAGGAATTTTTTCGGATTGATCCACTATTCGAGCTAACCGTGTAAGATGCTACGATCCTCTTTAGTTATTTTATCGAGATGTGTCTCTATCTAGTGTTATATACGTTCATTGATAATTGTTTGACTGATTGAAAAATGATTTAAAGTATGAATGTTCTATGATATCACTGTATTAAATACCATTCAGATAAATATGTTATGTGACACATGTTAATTATCGGCTTTGAAATTTATGTTATGCATTTAAAGTTTGAAACTGTGTAAATATTTTTTACAATCAGATCAAAATTTGGATATTTATCATTTTTTCATGTCATATTGGCTTGGTATTGAGAGGGGGAGTTTAATGTATTCACCCGACGAGGTGAATTTCTCTTTGGATTCAGTGGACCTTGATGTTTGTGGTAGACCCCTCTTCAAAAGATTTGATGTAGAGAGTGGTTCTGGAGAACCTAGTCTTCGGATGGTGTAAGGTGTTTGGGTGTATTTATATTTTCATATTTATTTGTAATATGAAAATTATGACTCGTATTGTGATTATGAATGTGACTCACTAGGAATAGAATGTTGAGCATATCATATAACAACTGTTGAGTCACTAGGCGGTTATGGATGATTTTGGAATGAGGACAGTTGGAATGCGAGCTATAATTTGGCTGAAAAATTACAAAAATTGTGGAATTCTGTCATTGGGCCATAGGCTTGAATTTTTTGGCCTATAAAAGGAGGATGAAGTCACACTTTTCACATTTTCTTATTCTCCATTCTCCATAATTAAATTCTTTGAAGTTGTCATGGTCGCCTATGTCCACTATCGGGGAGTGTAGCAGTAGTTGGAGAGCAGTGAGTGAAGATAATTTTAGTTTAAGTTGAATGGTTTAGCTTTATTATTTTTATTTGGTTTTGAGTATAAAGTGTTTGATGAAATGCTTTTTATTGTGATTTTGATTATGCGGTACGTCTATGTTGCTGGAGCTTTTAAATGTCGTTTTTAGAGATAAAAAACTATTATGTACACTTTAACCTTGGGTTAATTTTAGAGATTGAAATCGTTGAGATTGCATACTTCTTTTCTGACAACATCAATCATTATGACAATAATGTTAGTATAAAAAGATTTATGTTGTCGATTGTTGATGCCTTCATAATAACTTAATTAATGGAATTAATGAGAGTTAATCCATTTAGTTAGGTGTTTAATTACTTGAGAAAAGACTAATAGGTTGATCATTGGATGATGCATAAGTGTATTGTTATAAGATGAACAATTAGATCCAGAATCGAATTCAGAATCAAATCCAG